CTCAAGATCCGCGTCGGGAGGATGGGATCCAACGCTACATTTCTGCAAGTCTGGATTACTTTTCTCTGCTTCTTTTGATGATCCAGTAAATTGGCTTGAAGTCAATGCGTTCATTTTCATAAAAGATTTATTCAGAGGATTGAAAATTTGGTAACAATCTTTATCATCTGGAATTAAACACAACAAAAGGCATAAATAATATGAGAACGAAAGGTAGACACTCAATTTAAGTAAGACTAATAGAAAAAGACTAATAATCGTGTCCAAGTTGTATCAAATACAGTTTTGTTACTATAACTTTGTGTCATAGGTTTGAATGATTGCTAAAAGATATAAATGTAATATGCGGCGAAGTGTGTATCTACAGCGATTCTGAGATTCATCAAAAAATGCAGTAAATCCATTAAAAATCATATATTCAGTCTCAGAAAATATTGTCTTTAACAAAAATATTTGCTACATTTGGTATAGAATTTCCTGTTACGAAGGTTCTTAGTTCACTGAAGGAAGAGGTTTGGAGATAGTATACAAGAAATAACCAAAGTATGCTGAAAACTATCAGGTGAAATAATTTAAGTTTGACGATATAAAGTGTAAAAGACAATACCCTATATAGACAGTTTGAAACTAACGCCTAGCGAGAAATCAGTTGTAATGTAAGATTTCAACTCATCAAGTATAGTTATCAGATAATAAGTTTAAAGCTTATTATTTTAGCTCATTTTAAACTTATTTAACGACAAAAAAACTAATCATATTACTGCCCCATCATTAGTCTGTAAAACCTAATCATGCCATAAGATTTATACTAATAATATAAGAGCAAAAGCTTATGCTAACAAGAAAAGAAAAAAAAAGTATGCCTTATATGGCATATAATTGAGGATGGGCGATGGAGTAAATAGCAAATAAATATATCTTACTAGCTTCTGGCTCAGTTTTAAATGGATCAGAAACATTGGAACAAAAGTCGGCAGGGAGCGCAGAGGCAGCAACAAGGCCAGCAGCCGCTTCGGAGCTATCATATGCACTACGTTGAGAAGGCTTATCAAGGAGATGAATTACTGTCTCGACTCGTCCAAGCCAACTCATATACTCATCCAGACGAGACTGCAATCTGCCGATGAAATCGGAAAGTTCATCAAGTCCATGGCGGTATCGCATAACTTGTTCACTTGGGGAGCAACATGAGAGCGCGGCATAGTGCTCTAAACACACCATAGCTATTTTATATTTAAGTAAAAAACTTTTTTAAGCACAAGTGCTCACAAAGAAAGTTAATAAATCAGCCTCAGAACAATTATGAATTCCAAAAATAAAAAATTAGCCTAAATCATGCCACATTAAGAATAGAAAAATAAAGCGAAAATAACAAATGTTTGTAACTTTGTGCAATACTTGACAATAACATTTTTTAAAGAAAGAAATAGAACTTACAGTTCCCACAGTTACAGGTGAGAGCAGAGGCATAAAGAGTAGTTCCGCAAAGTTTGCACTCTCTTCGTTCATCCTCCCAGTCCTCAAAGGCCAATCTCTGTGTTCGCCGAACACCAATCTTGATAAGGAGTTTGCGGAGACTGCGCTCCTTAGCTAAAAGTTCAGTAAGTTGCTTCGTGACAACAACAAGAAAGTCAATATGTAAATCTTCAGGATTTTCTGCCATTCGGCAAAGCAATTCAGTGTGTGAAAATACAGGAGGTCGATGCATTACAGCATAATGGTCAATACAGCAGCGCCCCATTGGAAACTACAATAGGCGTATTGAAAATTGCATCAATTTTAAAGATAAGCGTAATGTAGGTGGAAAGTTCGAATACATGAAACATTAGACGAATTTAAATGATTGCATCAAATGAAGAAGCGAAATAAAGTGATATATGAGTACTCACCCAATCAGCAGGACAGAAATTAACAGCTTCTGCAAAATTAAATCCTTGGTTAAATCCGCCATGGTAGCCACGTGGAAACGTGATAACAAATTCACCGGGAAATTGATCAGTTCGATAGATAGGCACAGATCTATTACGAAGCCGAGTAGGAGAAATCATTGTAGTCATATGGTGGAGAATATCGGGATATTGTTCAAAGAGCTCAGGTGCTTCAGCTAGCATAGCTTCTTCAAAGGCATCAGCTGCAGAACTAGGCACACCATACCAGGTTTTGGGCTCACCTCTAATAAGAGCATATAAATTAAGAACTTACAAAAGTATAATAAAGGAAGCTGTAAAACCCAAACTGAACCATGTAGCATAAAAGCATAGTAGATAGTATGTTACTTACACGTGCATATAATTTATTGAGTAACTCCAATGATCCTCAATATGCCAGCAGAAACAAGAGAAGACCATGCCAACATAACACCAGGGGACCTAAAGATAAATTCTATAAAAGAAATTAAGTGCATACGATCATTCCTGATATGTCCCTCGGCAGAAATTTTAATGCAGATTTCTCGTTTACTGAAATATTATTAAGATTCCAAGAGGAATTAGCATATTTTCTATAAGCTTCCGTATTATTGTTTGAATATTTCGTAGGAAAACCTGATCCGAAATCTCGAGCACTAAGATCTGCACCATATTCCACGCACACATCGGTATCAAGACTTTCGATAAGCCTCCAAAACTCGGATTCGACATCTTGCAAAGGTACCATCTAATATTCGAATAAAGAAAGTTGGTAAAAAATTGTAAAACAATGAATTTTACCTGAGGAGGCATCCCAAAATACTTAGTTTTAAAGTCATCTGCACGGATTCCAAATCTATGGAGGTTATATCTTTTGTCGGATCGTCTGAACCCAAAATCAAGCGGTCCACGCACTTGACGATATTTCTCAAGAAAACATTTCGGGCAGAGCCAACTACCCTTTGGAACATCGCTAAGGGGTGGATTCAGACAATAAATGTGATAAGTGCCATTGATTTCACAACCATCGCAAATCAAAAGCTGTTCTCCATTGTCACCCTTGTCACACTTACGACATACAACTTCGTTAAGCTATAGAAGAAGTAATAAATAAAATAAAGGGTCATACTTTTATTTTTCCGAGATTAGATTTATACCTGCATTCTGGGGGATCAGGCTGCTCAGTCTACGAAATGAAATGAAGAAAGCTTACACAAGAACGCTCAGACTTTAGAAAATTTTCAAAAGGTAGTAAGATGCTTCTATATTTGGAACTTAAAGCTGAAGCGGTAGATGGTGAAGGGTCCAGACAAAGTTCAGAGCAAATACTACACCACATTTTTTTTCCACAGACATTTGCATAGCCACCATTACCCTTTACAATATTCCAGAGCAAAAAAATATCAAGGGGCCTCCCCTTTATGTGTGGCATATGCAATTTAACGTCCTGAAATTGATGAATATTCATATATGAACTAACTTTGACCTGCCAAAAGCTGACAAGAGACGTGATGAAATCAGACCTAATTCTGTTGTTGGCGCCAATATCCGATAGGTTTTGCAGTCTAGGAGTAAATGTGAAGGATCTTGGATCAGGGGCAAAAGGAGGTCTCCAACCCTAAGAAAAGTTTAGTGAAAACTGTCTAGCCTTACCAGTGGTGGGCGGATTTTGCAGATTCCATATTGCGATGCAATAGGGGCAATAGACGCAATATATACTAGAGGATCTTGGAATTCTTGAAAATTCGGTTGGAAATTCGGCGCCTCAGGGGGTCTAATGAAGGTAGAATCTTCCATCTACAAAGGAGCTACAAGGATAAGC